TCGGGAAACTCTGAAGAATAACGTCGGCACTTCACTCCAGCGATGGCAAATCGGGACAAAGCTTATCGATAACAGGTGCGAATTCACACCCGCCCACACAGGGCTCGGGTAAGTACAGCACAGCAGGCTCGTTTAGCCCATTTCTCAGGTGTAATGTGGTGTTTATAAGCCTCCAGGGACGGCGCTCCCCCCCAGCGCTCCTCTCCTCCAGGGAGGGAAGAGAAAAACAAAAACCAGCCTAGAGAGGTTTGGAAACGTGCTTTCCCCGTCATAACAACAAACCGCTGCCATCACGATAACTAGGCCTGGACGTTCTCCTCATCGTCATCTTCACATTATTTCTGCCACGTCACCACCCCTGCTGTCATTATCCACATCCACAGCGTTATAATCCCAGCAAAGATACTTTGAATCAAAGGGGCATGGATGTTACGCTGCACCGCTCAGTGTCTTCAGCACCCAGAAACATCTTTTGTTGAACAGTGACTCAGCTGATTGGCTGCTAACCTGACATTGGTTAACACTGGGTTAATCATCTGTTTATGAAGCAGCAGCAGCAGCGCCGGCCCACACAACAGTTGTTTGTAGTCGCAAATCCTTGGATTGAAACACATTTGTAGGTTTGCAGGCTGCAGAAATTTGACCAATTGTGTAAACAGGCGAACAGACAAAGGAGCGCGGACGAGCGAGTCAGCCTCCGCTCCCCCTCTTTCTCTGCCTGTCTGCACAGAGAAGCATCTGTGTTTTCACTCCTGAGCGGCGGCGTGCCCACCGCTGCAGGGCTGCGTGTTTGTGTCACCGCCGCAGCCTGAAGGTCGCTGCTCGGCCACGAGGCGCCGGAGGGTTCGGAGTGACGGCTGAGTGTCGAGAGATCGATAACTTTCTTTTTCTTTGAATCGCGAAAGCAGGGCATCGTATCAACCACAGTCACCCAGCCTCAAACCCAGAGGTCTTCATGTTTTTGCGTGCCAACGAGGACATCTGAAGCCTGGCTATGAGTCACTGTAATCACTGCAGCGCTGATTTGAAATGAACAGTTTGTCCGTGACGTCCGTTTTGTTGTGAGCACGAACAAAGGACAATTAAAGTTGAGGAATTACCTCATGCAGTGCAACATTAACAGGTGACATATTAATAATCTCATGTGGAGAAACAATGAATTTAATTTGAGTAACTGACAGTGTGCAATACTTAAAATAGGCTGAATTCATTCATTCATTTATTCACGATCTGCCACTTCATCATTATTAACAGGTAAATTAAGAAAATGAACTATAAGTGTCACTGCATGCGCTAATTAGTCATCAGAATGAACTAACTGTAAATATGATACTAGTTCAATGAGTGCCTCTGTGGTGGTTTTCACATCTGCATTTATTCAGTTATTTGCATTTTTAAAAGCTTTTTTCAAGAAGAACCGTTAAATAAAAACCCAATTCCGTGTTTTTACCATTTAAGGTAGAATGTCATTAAGAGCTTTAACCTCCTAGGACCTGGCGTCCACACATTTTGGGTTATTTAGACCAAAATACTCAATTTTGCTCTAGAAGGGCCTGATATCCACCTACGAGGACATTATGCTGCTACTGTTCTATCAAAATCTTAAACGAATATCCTCATATGTGGCTCTGATTTTTCTTAAAAACAAAAATAAGGTAAAAATAAAATCTGGTAATTCTTTGTTTTTACATTCATCGGGTCCCAATCAGCCCAAATATCAAAGAGAAATTAAAAATGAATGCAGTGGAAGAGTTCGGGTCTTAGGAGGTTAATGTCTCTATAATGAAGAAAAAGTTCATCCGTGCAAAACAATCCATTTAAAAACTTTATTTATTTAATTCATCTATTAATTGCTCTCTTTGAAGTCATCAATATGCAACATTTCATGGTTAGAAATGAGCAAAACGAAGCTTTCTAGTGTTTTGTTTTCACATCAGTGATGTCACAGGATTTCTCCTGCATAGAGAAGTATATTTAAGGCTGGAGTAGCTAAATGTCATTCATTTATTTAAAGGCATCAGTATTTATTTGAAGGCAGTCACTTTAAGTTGCAAAGACAAAATAAATGTGCCTGTGTAGTTCAGGGTGAGACCAAATGTTTTTAATATGGAGAACTTGGAAATTGTGATTCAGCGTAAACTTGCAATTTCTTTATTACATTCTGCACCAGTGTTCGGGGGGTTTGCTGACAGAAGTGTGCAGAATAACCCTCTGCATCGTTTGCTTCTCTTTCACCCTGAGAGGGCGTTTGATGAGAATGAAATTAAAGTAAAGCCCTTTTGTTTTAGAATTAGCTTTAATTTTAACATTGTGTGTTCACTAATCAAATATAAGCTTCGCTTTTCTTTGCGGGATTAGAAATATCAGGAAACGCATCGTTTTCATCAAACGAGCTAATACAGACTCACGGCACAGCCTTCCTCCCAAACCTCCAAGTACAGAGACTGCAAACCTCATTACATCCCAGCAGGAGAACTCACAATTTCAAACTTTCACATGATGAGCAGCAGCATGTGAAGCAGACACATGAATAAACGGCACCTGTGACGTGATCAAAAGCTTCCCAGAAAAACATGAAGGCCTGCACAGATGTGACCTCTGCAGCCTCAGCTGTCACACAAAGACTTCAGCATGCTCAGGCAGAAACACACACGCACACAACATCAGCAATCAAACAACTTCCACAATCCATGTGACGGCTGGAGCTTCAAGACCGAAGCTGTTAGGAGTCACCCGGTTCCACGTCCGCTGCCTCCCCACGTCTTCCCTGCAGGGGTTTCAGTAGTTTGAGCTTCAGTGGTTTTCTCAGCCCCGACCGCGTCCTCCAACTAAACACTCATATCTGACAGTTGTTTCTAAAATAACCCTGTAATCCTGAAAGTACCAGTTTAGAGTTCAGGGCACATACGTGCACTTATTTACACCGCTGCTAGAAGTCGTTTAAACCTGAAACTTAACGGCATGTTGCAATAAGCTGCTGCACAAACATGTTGTTTGTTAAGCCTCAAAATGTAAAAAAAAACCCCAAAACTTAGCAAACAATATAAACAATGTATCGATTTAAACAGTAAGAAACAAATGACGTGATGAACTGCCAAAAACTGCAGTTCCTCCAACGTCCAGCAGAGGCTGCAATAAATAGGCTCAAATAAACTTGTTTACAGCCTGATATATATAAATAAATAAATACTTTCAGAACAACTGTGGAGGACCTGAAAATGTTTTTATAAATAACATCTGTTGTTTTTCATCTGCTTAGATTGAATGAAGGTTTAAACTTTGCATTATTAGAGGCGTGGCCTCTCTGATTGACAGCCTATGGATGCAGCTTGCTAACTAAGCTAGCTAGTATTGATAATTTAGTAATTGACTACTGCGAAACACATGTGGCCACTTGTGGCTCCAAGAAAACTAACATGGCGAAGTCAGAAAGCCACAGTCGAGGCCTAAAAATGCTGTGGCTGCTTCCATCTTTTACATACAGTCTGTGTTTGGTACATATTCAGCACCAGCAGAATCACATTGAACATTTAATGTTGACCAAAGGCAGCTGAAACTTAAGGCAAACAGCAGTGACTTTAAAAAGTGATAAAAAGTCGTTGATGTTTATTTTTTCCATGAAAAAACAATGAAAAAGACCAGATTCCATTTTATTGCATGAAGTCACTAACATTTAAGATTTAGAGGGTTTTTAAGTTTTCAGCGAGATGTTAGGGGACATCACCCTGAGCGGAACATTTGTGGAAAGGCATTCAAATGAAACTGAACAACTATTCTGAGAGTACTGATAATGTTTTTGCAGCATGTGTTGAGTAAACGCAGCTGAAACAAACAGCGTCCTGAGTAACTCGTATTCATTTTTGTTATTTTTATTTCTTTATAAGAAAAGGTTGGAAAATAAAAAGAGACAAATATCTGCAGAGCTCCGCGGGTCAGAGGAGACGTGTGTTTCTGTTCATCGCACATCAGCGTCATTAGAATATTTCGGGTTTGTGGAGCCTTAAACAAAGACTTCACCTTCAGCTCTG